TTACGAAGATAGACACGCCAGCCGATGCCGATATGCACCGGGCCGAAACCGCTTGTACCTGACGGGCAGCGGTGTGGCGTTTGCAATTCGGTCTTCGTGACAGACATGAGACTTTCCCAACATATGCGGCATAGGCATCCTGACGCCAGAAAAGAAGCGAGAGCCGCTAGTTACTCCTGCTGGAATTTCGTCCTGGCATAGCCAGGTCTTTACCGAGGACGAAATTCATGCTATGCTGGAGTGCGAAGTGAGTTTCTTTGGATACAGATCGATTGCCTTCAAAATGATGCCCTTCATTTCTACTAGATCCAATACACAGCTGAGGCAAAAAAGAGCTGATAGAAAATACAAATTGAATACCTTATAGTACATAATATCCCTCCTCTAGCCGCAGGGTGCCAAGAAGAAGAAGAATCAGAAAATCTGCCCGATAGTCCAGCCCGGGCTGGTGGCTGCACTCCACAAGAAGAGGCTGCGGCAGTAGGAATAACCGCACTACAGGCAGACAGTGACGTCATCACAGCAATCAGGTTGCCTTTCAGCTCGCCCAGTCAACCAGAGTGTACCAAATTGTCACGTGGTGTCCTGTCACCCAGTTGTGAACCAGAGTGTACCAAATTGTCACGAAGCGTCCTCAAACTTTCAAGCAGCTCTACAGTTAATCAGAGCGCACGCTTTTATTTCTCAGAACATCGTGACGAGAGATTTGAATTTTCTGTGGCCATAAATAATTCAAACAGACGACCAGGCGTATCCATCAATGAGTCAGACCACCAGTCACGTGGCGCGTCACCATCTTTTCGTTCAATACATTTTTTTTTCCATGACGCCATAAAAAAAGTTTTCGTTGGAGAATTGAAAGCAGGTCGTTGGTATGATAGACTTGATTGTTAGCCTCGACACCACTGTTAGATATTGAAAGTAATTGGAAACTGTTGATAGTGATGGTTTCGGTAATTGCTTTTCGAATTGTTTTCACATTCGAATTATGATTCCTGTTTGGCTGATGACACATATTTAGTTTTGTTCGAAGTTATATTGAGAAAAACAATTATGACAGAGTCGGAAGTGGCTTATCAGTGTAGGGGAGTTGGCGTTTGAGAGATAACGAGTCGTGTGCGCTTGGAATGATGTGAGAACAAAATTAGGTATACAGAACGTTATTTCAAAATGCATCAATCAAAGCGAAAAAATATGATCGCCATAATATCATTTGACAGATATTGTGTTGTTAAGAGAAAGAAATGTGAGGATTGGTGTAAAAAAAAGTATGAGAGTTAGTGGAGCAGAATGGTGCAGGTGTTTTCAGTCATAGACCCGGAACAGAGATATCAAACTGCCTAGGAACCTATGCGACTGTATTTCAAGCGAAAATTTACGTGTGGAGAGATTGGAAGAATCGAAAGACAGACACAAGTCAATAAAATTTTTTTCGGGCAGTCAAGCGGCGTTGGAAGCTCTTGGCTACTACCGAGCAACGTATAAATTGTCGAAAGACGGTTCTCCTCCATCATTTGTTGGCGAAGACATTGAAGAAAAAACATGTCGACAGCTCGTCGAAAATTCATAAGGCATACAGAGTGTTGTTTTACATGCGTTTTTCCCGTTTTGCGTACGTTTATTCGTAATCGTTTCGTCATCATCATTTCGTCATTTCCAGGCCTCCGATAGGAACCTTGTGGAAAACCCAACTGAATGTTGGTGTGACCTAGGTGAGAGTGAGAAGATGTAATTTGTGTATGAGAGAGAATATGATTACATTAGTGTAAAATAAAGATGAAAAAAAAAGATGTGATGATAACGAAAAAGCACTGAACCATACCATGCTTAATAATAATCGAATCGTGACGTACAGTGACATTTTCGTTATTAATAGTTGGATTTTAACGTACAGCATATCAAATGGAAGGGAAAGGAATGCAGAATACATCGACAAAGTGAAAACGAAGATGACGCAACATGTCAGAAGGGCACTAAGTCACATCTTCGTTAATAATAATCGGATCGTTACGTACAGTACGCCAAATTGAAATGAAAAGAATGCAGAATCGATCAACAAAGAAAAAACGGAGATAGCGGCCGGATCTCAACGTGCAGCACATCAAATGAAAGGGAAAGAAATACAGAATGTATCAGCAACGTAAAAACAAAGATGACGGCTGTATCTTCGTTAATAATAGTCGGATCTCAACGTGCAACACGTCGAATGGAAGGGAAAGAAATGCACAATGTTTAGACATATAGAAATAAAGATGGCAGCCAGTTTCGTTATGACAGTCATCTGTCATATACGGTCTCTCAACAAGCGTTTCGCAAACCAAGTGAGCATCATCAGTACATGAATACCATTAAGGGAAAATAACAATGGCCACTCGTCATTTGTTATTGAAATGAATAAGACCTTTGGGTTTGCATGATTGATAAAAATTTATGGTCAGCCTTCTCGAAATAAAGAGAATAATGATTGTAGATGGTAAAAGTGGAATAATAATGATGTTGAATGGAAAAATATAGAAAAAACATGGTGGTTTATAGAGTGTCTCAAGACATATCATTAAAGAAAAAATATGGCGGGTGCTTATCAAATTTTGTATATCAGTTGTACCAATATTTAAGATAGAGAAACATGGTTGCATGAGATATACCCATATGATTTGTATCACAACGTAGAATGGAAAATAATGTACAACTGTCTAGAGAATCGCTCTAAATATAATGCGTTGAAACAGAGTATTTTGTACACGCATCGAAGAAACGTTTTTTATGGCTACATGTTTTTCAAAAAATTATGTGTAAGTATATACGTTTTGAAATAGTAATAACAGAAAGGTTATAAACCGTTTGTTAACAGAATTGAAATTTCCTTAGATCTAGTTCATCTATTAATTGTAAGAGAAGAAGTATGATATATCGTGAGAAATTCATTATGGGGGAAAACTGAATAGTAAATAAATCGATATATAACGGTAGCGTCAAACCTGTTCGTGGAATAAGACAATACTCAATACTCTCAATACTTTCAAAAATTTGATATAACAATTTCATCTGTTATTGCGGATTGTTGAGAAACCTTTTTAATTCGAGTGACCTGTGTGTGCGCGCGTGTGTGTGTGTGCGTGTGTGTGTGTGCGCGCGCGATGAGAATTAAGTATTATGAACGCTTATGAGAAAAATTGTTTGCATTATAAAGTTCAAAAACAAATGTATATCTTTTCGCCATCATTGACCTCAAGTATCATCCGGTTATTATTGATGAAGTGCATGTATGGAATCGTATTTATTTGAACTTGAAAACATCATAATAGTTCTTAGATGAGATAAATACGCAATATTCACAATTGTTGCAGTTTAAATATTTTGTCTCAATTCTTCGTTCACTCGTGCTGTTGATTGTATACTTACATATATTTGAAACATTGTTCGAAGTAATTTCTTCACCTCGTTCGATTGATGATTCCGGCGCATACAAATACGTGAAATTTCACGGCAACTTGTTGAAGCAAACGAGAAAAAAAAAGAAGGCTATGTTTATCATCAACTCCCACACATTGAAAGCATGAATATGGCATTTCGCAAGAATCGCTTTTATAGGTATTTTTATAGTATAAATTATTTCATTATGGTATGTCACACGGATCAATTACATAGGGGAATTGTGTCGTAACACTTCTGTGAATATTTTTACGAATGTTGCTTATAAACTAGTTTCTAAACATTTTTATAGTATAAATTATTTCATTTTGATATGCCACAAGGTTCAATTACATAGGTGAATTGTGGTGTACAATAGTATTTTCGAAAATATTGGGTTATAACTTTTGATGGGAACTGGAAAGGTTAAAACGAGGGACGTACCATACAAATAAAAAATCAAGAGGTTCATTTATGAATAAACAAGTAACCGAAACGTTATAAGTTTGATGAATACTTCTAATTTGAAACGGTGTGCTGATGATGAAAAAAGTAAAAAACTTGTTGGGACTTCGATAGAGTTCGAAACGGTGTACTATGGTGATGAATGAACCGAAATAATGGGGCGGTAACTGAGGATTGGGGAGTGAAGAAGGTGGAATGCAAGAGCATTGATATTTATGAAAAATCCAACTGAGGAAAGGAACACTGAAATTATATTTTTCATGTGTTTATGAAATAATTATTTATCGTCATATCTTCTTGAAGAGTGTTCGTAACAATTTTTCAAGAAGCTGTTTATATTTTTTCAAGCGATGCAAAGGCAATGAAGGCAACAGATTGTACGGTTTCAAACTCACAGCTTGTGTTATATTTGCTAATCAATGAGACAATACAAAGGCATCATGACGAGAAATTTCTGTATCTTTCCACACACAGTCAATATTTTTTTCGTGTAACTTCTGAATTTTGAAAAGCCAGAATTGAGACATTATTACTCTTAGTAATCCATAAGACAATTGTTTAATTTTATCATCTTTCACCATCAAGGATATTTTATATCCACCAGTTTTACACAGCGACGACAAAATTTGTTTTTTCAAATGAGCCTTTCCCTGTGTGTGTCTTCTGGATGAAAATCATTGTTTATACCTGCCTTTCCCTAATGAAAGTCAGGATATTGAATTATTTTCACTCCAAGTCTATATATGTAACTGCACAAAAGTCGTGTTTCAATGCAACATTTTTCTCTGCTTCGTTCGAAAGTTTCTGTTGCAAAATTTCGTTCATATAAAGACGTGTTTCAATATATTTTTTATCGTTTAGTACGCATAGAGCTCAATATTTCATATAATATTTCTGTTTGTGTAACTAAAAATCGTGTAGGATGTCGCAAGTGTTTGAGAGAGAATTATATAGCATGACCTTTTGAAAAAAGTGTATACAGGGTCTTTCATTGACGTTTGTTGAAAATGAAATGATGCTACAAGGTGACTAGGACCTCAGTTTTTAACGTGCGATCCCTCAATGTGTACATTGTAACGTTCAAATTTCATTCTAAGAGTACATTAGTAATTACACGCCCTGTATGTGAAATCAATATCATTTATTCAGCACACTCGTACATACAAATTTAAAATGAAAGGATATCCCATTCCAGCGGATCCGCTTCTGGTTGTTTGACTGGAGCTGAAAAAAAAGAATGTGTTAATTAGTTTAGGTAGAGGAAATATTGGTTATGATGTTATGGTGAATCGAAAAATTCACTGTTAATGACCTCATACATGAATGATGTAGCAGTACTCACCTTTTTTCAGAAGTTGCATAAACATTGTTTCGATCAGCTGATTCGAGTCGGACATCTAGCTAGCTTCTTCGAAATCTAGTTGACGGTATTTTATAGGTCACGAGAGTCTGTAGTTTCTTGAGTAGCCGTAACTTGAACTTATATAGTAGATTACATATTTGTACATCTCAGTAACGAGTATTTAGAAATTTAGGACACTAATATATGTAATGGTCGGATGTTTAGGTTTGTCTTGGAATTATTATTTAGAACATGCGTGAGCCATCTATGTGTAGAAGTGATAGGTAGGGGTTTGTCATATTAGGCCGAAAGGTGATCACTCCCGTTTGAAACGTGTCCTTGTGAAAGTAACCACTGGTTGAATACGAGGTGTTTAATGATTTTACAATCATTCTCAGTGGGGATAATCTCGAACTTCACCATTGAAGAGTTCTGTAGACTGTATAGTGTATTTGATGAGTTGATTATTTTGAATAAAATTCAGAACTGATCTCGTAAGAGGATTTTTAGTGGTATTTTATTTTGTACGACGACAGAGTACAACGTGTACACGATCCTGTAAAACTGTTACCATCTTGTGTGATACGTGGCAATCCTCTACAGTTCACGGAAGTGATAAAACCCCTTAGCCAGGGTAAGTTAACCTTTGTTTATATGTATCTGTTGAGATTCATATAACATTTCTTTTTCACGTTCTGTTGGGAGTTTAAATAACCATGTAAGGTTTTAAGGCATACTCCTTTTTTTTGGGTTTTTTTTTGGGTAATTTTCATTTTCGTACCTCCTACGCTGGATTCCAAGCATTGGAAACACCTAACCTAGAGGCAGAAATCCACACATATACTGGGTGATTCATCACAGAAGGCACCACCACCGTTGTGATTTTCTACTGTGACCCGGAGCATACTACAGCGTGTCCCGAGTTCTGAGGACTTTGAAGCTGGTATTCAACGACGTGGAAGAGACGCAAGTTTAGATTTCATTCATTTCAAAGATTTATAGAACGCTATTGTGCTTAAGTATCTTCTTCATTTGCAAAGGTGAAATTTAATGCAAACTATTTGATGCTTCATTTTCATACCTATGAAGGAGAAATTTGATGCTTATTATTTAATGCTTGATTATGATACTGTGCGCCTACGCTTGAGCTCTCGCGACGCTGCCCTCACTATGTCGCATGCATTTTAATTTCGGCCCTGATATTTTTCAACAAGATTCATGCTCGTGTTTGGTAGGTAGTGACAGATTGAATTGACGCTTACCAGGTTTGCTTGTGCTTTCATTCATCAATGTTCGCTTTGCTCGGAACGTAAAATTCATCGTTGGGTAAATGTATATATGTATAGCTGAAATTTTGCACAGTTTATGGAAATTGGTGGTGATGCTTTGAAATACAGTTCATGGAGTCGGATGGTATCACGACTGTATATATAATTTGGATACTCGTAATCAGAATTGCGCATTGCTTCCTTATATTGCTATAAATTACTATGATATAGCTACCGTTACTCTCGCTTAATTATTATAGGATTATTTCAGATGGAGACACCAAACCATCCAGTTGAGTTCTAAACTTGTTAATATTGAATAGTTTAGTTGATTTGCATATGTTGTTGATGAAGTACACCGGTTCTGAATAAATCTATTTTATGAACCAGTTGTTTTCATGTCCTTTGATAAATTAGGGATATAGGAACATAACTAAGGGTATTTCTGGGTAAATTTACCTGGCGCTCATTATTATTTCTTTAATACCTGTTCTTAACGAACCACACCCATCTTCACTGAGTCATTGTCTAAAGATTCATAGTCAGGTAACCATATGGAGTTATCATTGGAGGACGATGGAAACAAAAAGTAGATGGCGCGAATACCGTGGTCTCCAAAAAAGAGATGAAAGATTGAGATGGAAAGTGTCGTAGTAAAAAGTTGTAAATGATTATTTTTATGTTTCTGACGGGCTTCGTCTTCGCGTCGTGCTTAGCCAGCCATTTCTAAGAGGTTTCTCGTATGGAAGTGTATAATTATAAAATCATTGCAAAGCGTCATGTGGTTCAGTCAAAGTATTATACTTTGACACAATTCTCAATCCAAAAATGTATTTTCTTGGCTATCAGCCTATTTTGTTTTATATAAGTCAAATATTACAAATGTGCCATGTACTTATTTTGATTCTTTCTGTTGCCTGACACGTGAGCACTGATTATGATGAAAGTCGAAAGCGCTTTGCAATAATTTTATAACTGTACACTTTCATACAAAAAACCTCTTCGATTCATTCATTCAATGAGTGTATTCAGCTTCCCAAATCTATTTATATTACATTCCACCTTTTGGTGCACCCTCTCCACAAACCTAATGTGAAAAATATACAATAAAATTTGCCATTTTAATTTCTTTAGTCTTTGGCTAGTACCCTTGTAAAACAAGTGACCTAATTTTCAAATTGGTGTTGCAAAAAATACTTTTATATTTCAAAATATGTGATGAATGTGCACTAACTGGTGAAAATTTTATGAATAATGAGATTATTTTTATCAGCAAATTTACCTAATTGAGTTGTTAGCATTTTGTTTCTTCTACAATTTTATCTTTATTTCCAGATGTCTGGCAATAAATGTGCCTACAACAAATGTGGACTCTCAACTAGAAATGACCATAGTTTGATTTTTTCCATTTTCCAGTCAAAGATTCCACAAGATGTAAACAATGGATTATCCCTTCAGGTAAGAAACCTCAACAGTTCCCAAAATATATCAATTTCAAAATATTTTGATGTAAAGTTACTTCCAATGGATCTATTATTCTGCAAGAATCCTACTCTCATATCAATATTACAGAAAAATTCAACAACTTTCTTCATGTAAAAGTTTTGCAAACGAATAATTATATATGGTTTTTCTTGTCACCCTTATCTAATTGGACCATCAAAACAGACCCTTTTGGGAAGCTGTTTTTGACAGTTTGGAAGTTTGACAGAGTACCATGAATATTACCTACTAGTTGTTGGCAGTTTGTCAGATAGGTTCTTATTCAATCAAGCGAAATACCTGTAATCCTTAATTTCTTCAACAGTATTTCATGTAAGGCACAGTTTTGGTTAGATCGCAAAGCTTTAGGGTAATTTGATTGCCTTGCTGAAGTTCTTCAACCACGCCTGTCACTACCACCACCACCACTTTGCTGAATATTGAAAAATAATAATTATCAGTTGGTGATTATCCATGACTGTTGCATCAATTTTTTTTATGAAAGGTCGCTGATATGTATGGAAACGGTCGATTATTTCTTAAAGTAAGATAGCTAGCCAAAAATATCGAAATACAAAAGTTTTAAGGTTTTTCCAAATCTTCCACACTGAATAAAAATCAGGTAAACAGGAGTCAAAAACTCTTGAAGAAATGAAGTTACTTTTTCTTCAATACAACACCTTAATTTTCATTCCATATTTTCATTCTGATTGAAATTCTGAACAAAATTGATACAGCCCATCATTTCCTGAATTCAACCGTTTTCGAGATATTATTTTGAAAATAACTTTTCACTACTCTAAAATTTATTAAAGAAAAAACACGGAATGATGGATATTTATTATGAAAGTCACACAAGGTGGAGTATGTGGACACAGTCAGACACCGAAACAGGTAAAACTAAATAAAAAATCTCTGACACTGAAAACCCGCCAGATACCAATTTTGAATAGAATTGGACCATAATCACAAAACTTGTGTCAAATTTAACTTGCAAGATTTGATTACAGACACACAGTCAGATACCGATATAGGTGAAACTAAATAAAATCTTGTAAAAATAAAAAATTTTACAAGTTGTTTTATCGAGTTACCGATTGGTATTTTTTTCTTTTTCGGGCAACATCACATTGCCTGGTCTGAGCCCAAAATCACTCAGTAACAAATTTTTGTGCAGCAGACATTTCGAACCACCATTTCTTCAACACAAACGGTTGCCAGGATCATTGGATGAGGATGAAAACATTTTTAATACAGTAGAGGACAGTTCTCTCGAGACCACCGAGAAGAAGGAGTGGTCTTCGAATTCAAGTAAAGCATCAGAAACATCAACTGCACCTGCAGATACAATAGATGATTTTTTCGCAACAGTGGTATCCTGCGCAGTAGTATACCTTGCTGGTTACTTAGTACAAAAATGTTTAGACCGATTTAAATGTGAATGTAGAGTTATTTGACAAAGCGACGAAGATTTGGCAGATGATGATGAGTTATTGACTTTTTACAAAAATTACAATATTCAAAACTCAAGCGGTTTGGAAACGCCCTCAAATTTTATGAGGCAATTCACATAAAACAATGCTGTGTTATAACCAGTATATCAAAAAATACTGCTCCAAAAACATAATCAGCAATATTAGAGACAAAGCAAATAAATAACTTTTCAAGTATCTTCCTGATTGGTTTGAGGCACAAGTAAAATGTAAAGAACACTAAAAATATATTGTTGATCTGTTGTTACTCACACAAGTTTTCAAATACTGTTAAGATATTTCAAGTAGAATAAAAACAAGGGCGGGGACAAAAAATGACAAACTTAGTATTTCAAAACATAATTAGTAATAATAATCAAATACCAACTGAAACAATCATTGTTTCTGAATCTACTATACAGGGCTTTTCATGATGAGCGTTAATTAGCCGTTTCTGACAAACTATCAAACGGATCAACCTGAAACAATCATTGTTACTGAATCTACTATACAGGGCTTTTCATGATGAGCGTTAATTAGCCGTTTCTGACAAACTATCAAACGGATCAACCTGATGATTGAAAAGAGAAATATATTTTGATAGACAAAAATATAATGGAGGTCTATAGTGTATAGTGAGATGCCATTATGCATCTGGTGAGTACATCTTTTGAACAGGCGCGGTCGCAGACCGAAATTTTGGGGTTGGCAACAACCAGAAATGTCACAGAATTTCTATTTGATTCTATTTTCACAAAAGATTCCTAATCTCCGACCTCTTTATTCCCCACATACCAATTTTGAATCGAATCTAACCATAATGACAAAACTTATCCGCCATCTTGAATTTGAAAATTGTCTAGAAATTCACTATCCCAGATCCCTAAAACCCCCACATATCAGTTTTCAATCGAATTGGATCAGAATCACTAAACTCGTAGCTATCTTGGAGCCGCCATCTGGATTTTGGTAATCATAATATCTGGCTGCAAAAACCCCCACAAACCAATTTTTAATAGAATCAGACGATAAAATCATATAT